TGGCCGGATTTAAGTCCGTTTGGGTGTTTAAATTTAAAAATCGTCAAACAAATAAATAAAAGGAAGTGTCGTTATGAGTGATGTGTAACAAACAAAAACAACAACACCTTAGCTAGGTGTTTACGGCCAAACAAGAGGAGTTTGGGCCGTAAACACCATTTTTCCAAGAACTCATGCATATAGCATGAGTTTACCCACTATTCTCTCATTTTACACTTCCCACCTCAAGAACACCAACTTTTTCTCTCAAGTATCATAAGTTCATTTCTTCAAATCCGCCAAAATGTAAGTGTTTCCTTCCTAGATTCGTTCATGCAACACTTAATCTAGTGTTTATACATCATTTCATCCATGGATTCTTCATTTTTACTTAGATCTTCAAGTGTTCTTCAAAACACCAAGAACACACACTAGTGTTTTTGGCCCTTAAACACCCTCACAAGCTTCCTATAAGTAAGTACACTCTTCCTAACTAGTTACTTGCTTAGTGTGCTTGCTAATCCATGGAATGAACATCAAAATCCCCAAGAACATATGTGTTTACGGTCAAGGGAGATCCTTGAACCGTAAACACCCCCAAGTGGTGTTTAGATGCCCCTAACACCTTCTATAGCTTGGATAAAAGACTAGAACCTTGCATGCATGAACTAGAAACACCAAAACACGAAATGGTTGGAGTAACCATGAGTTTACGGCCGTAAACTCATGGGTTTACGACCGTAAACTCCCAAGGGTGGTCCAAGGACCGTAAACTCCATTAGTGAGTCCTTTTGATCCCTAACCACTTCCTAAGCCTTTGATTCAAATTTAGAACCCTTCCTTGTGAGATATAAGACCTTAAAACACACAAATACACCATTTCCATGAGTTTACGGCCGTAAACTCATGGGGGAAATGGTCCAGAAACCATAAACACATATAGGGTTACCATTTGAGGAGTAAACTCCAATGTGAGGCCATACTCTCCTTAGATACGACCCTTTAGCACTCCTAGCACTTGAAACTAAGTGTTTCCATGTATTAGAGTGTCTTTACTTGATTATTTAGTTATTAAATAACTAATTAGATACATTTATGTATCACTACATGTTACATAGGATCAGTGTGTGTGTTCAAGTCCTCACTTGACACCTAGCATCCTACCCGACACTTCCATCCAAACCACTCACTGCAGGTGAGTTCATACCCCTAAATCAACCTTTTAAATGATTTTAAATGCTTTTATGGGGGGAATACAAGTTGAACTGTTATAGTTATTGTATCAATCACATGTGATTAATAACTAGAACAGACTACAAGATTTGCTACTGCTTTCAAATTACCATCAAACTTTGGATTTTCAAGTGTTTCAAACCTTTTATCAAACTATTTAAATGCCAAAACTGTTTTCAAACTCTTTTAAACTTGCTTTATTTACAAACCCATATCTATACTAATATATTTATATAAGTAAGACTTGAAGGACTTAGGACTGATAGCTCACCTTATTTCTTGTTCCTTGTTTGGTTGTGGACTTAGGGTATCCTGTTATTTGTCCGATTGTCGTTGAATTCTTAGTTATATATCATATATATTTGTGTTGGATATAAAAGTCTTCACTTCGGTTCAGTACCTTTGTGTATCAAAGGCATGCAACCAACATTACTATTTAACTATAATAGGTATAGTTAAGGATTACTACTATTACAATGACACCTACCAGAGTCAGTACAGTTATGAGTCAATACATGTTAAATACTATACAAAGAGAATACTATATACTATACAAGAGAACACTCTATACATTATACCAGAAAATACATTATACAATATACAAGAGTATATACTATAATTAGAATGTGACATACTACTTCTCGATACGACACTTCACAGTGGTATCACCGTGTAACCAGAGTCTCCTGGAGGGAGAGCGGGCATTGTGTGTATAGATCTATACGAGACAGACACTCCCACATCCCGACTGCTAGCTACAGTCCCAGCCGAAAGGCCAATGGGTGACAAAATGTCACATCATTACATATGAATTGGAGGGTCATCAGTTATTCGATCGTCAATCAGCATGGTTACATACGAGTTCACATTCAAACCTTTAATTACACATTAAGAATTAAAGGCCAAACAGGCTCCCCGAGGTGTATTGTACATTTAATACTACCCGGAGTCTGCATTTTATTTCATTTAGCCGGCAGAGCTGGGGTAAAACCTTATTTTCCCAATTACTTTACATGAATAAAGTCCAAAACTATATTTTCTTACTGATAGTTTCACTGGGTAAAGCTTTTACCTTTTTCAAAGGATCAAACATGCAAACAAACGGGTCTTGGTAGAAGACTACTTTTACTGGAAAATATAGGATTTTCTAGGGAGTATACCATTGTCAACCATTGATATCAGCTATTATACTACATTGTTGTAAACATTTTTATACAAGCAATTACACTAAATACTTATGAACTCACCAGCTTTATGCTTTTGGTGTCTTACATAGACAGGTACAGATGAAGCTTTTGAGAAGATGGAGCACATACAAGACTCATCTTTTATTTTGATTATACTTTTGGTGTCTTACAAACTGTACAGAACACGCTTGTATTACAATTATTATATTAATGCAATGGATGTTGTTGTTTGTCTTTATTATTATGCATTGTTATGATACTGTACATGACGTCCTCCACCGCAGAACGTATTCCGTCGTTCCGGTTTTGGGGTGTGACAATATATTTTATCATAATATATTAATAAATCATTAATTTTGATTTCTAATTAATTTATTAATCATATAATAGATTAATAAACCAGTATCTCTCTACAAAAAAACATTCCAGTCAATTACTAGGTTTGAGGGAAACCCAAAAGGATTTTGCTAATAATTCAAGATTCTACTAATTTAGTTATTGGCTTAGACACCTTATCCAACACTAGCAACTTAATTCACAAGACCGTCTAGAATGATCAAGTGTTGTCATATTACTCTGGGATATGACCAGGCACACCATTATAGTTTCCTGATCTGGACCCACCATTTCTGCTCATCCAAAAAGGAATACTATTTGTACTCTGGTATGTATTTTGTACCATCAACATATGAAAGTGTCATTGAACAAAATTCCACTCTCTGTTCCTAACTTACACATATTCTCTAAATTAGACTACACGATGTCAAACTTAATTGAACTAGGCATCTATAATAAGTCTTATCTCACCAAAGGGCAAAATTACTAGGCTTCCAATACCAACTCTGTTTAGGCAACACTATCCTAAGTCAGTGTATATATTTAACACTTAGTATTTATGTATTAATATACTTTTATCTTTCTCTCTAATAATATTTCTATTATTATTATCACGTAATAATATATATATATATATATATATATATATATATATATATATATATATATATATATATATATATATATATATATAAACACATATAAAACCATATCTGGTTTGCACGCTACAAGAAATTTCCTGAATAGGTACGGAAAGGTGTTATGGAATAAAATTTTGTAGCTATTTTGCTATGAAATATGCTACTAAATGACTTTCCTTAGTTTTTTTGTTACAAAATTCACTACGAAATAAATTTCCATAGCAAACCCCCAACTAGTTACGGAAAATTGTTACGAAATCGTAATTCGTAGTTAGTCTGCTACTGAATTGGCTATGGAATAAAAATATGTAGCTATTCTGCTATGAAAATTACTACAAAACTAAATTCCGTAGCTATTTAGTGGTTATTATGCTACAAAATTCGATACGAAAGTTAATTTCGTAGCTATTTTGCTACGAAATTAAATTCCATAGCTATTCTGCTACGAAATTTTGCTGCCGAATTGTATTCCGTAACTACTTTGCTACCGTGAAAAAATACATAGCTATTTAGTTACGAAAATTTTTATGGAACAAAATGTCGTAGCTACTTTGCTACAAAATGATATTCCGTAGCTATTCGGCTATATGGCATTTTGCTACGAAACTATATTCCGTAGTTATTTTGCTACGAAAAAGAATTGCATGGCTACTTCGCTACGAAATGAAATTTTGTAGCTATTATGCTACAGAAAATTACCATGCAACTAAACTCCATTACTATTTTACTACAAAATGTAATTCCTTAGCATATCTATTTTGCTATCGAATTTATAATTGTTGACTGAGTTAGAACTGACTGAGTTAGAAGTTGATTGGGTTAGGAATTCTGACTGAATCTACATCTGACTGAAACCATGTTGTTTGATTATGTATCTGACTGGCTATGCTGAATGATCAAAATGACCACTTTACCATTTTGTTATTTTACAACACAACATGAATCTATTTAGTTATAACAATGTCATTTAATACAAAAGCAATTCTCACAATTACTATATAAGCATTTTTATTGAATGCTGATAATGACCATTTTACCATTTTAAAATATATTAATGTATAAACATTTTTTTTGCTAAATTGCAAATATTCATAAAATCACAAAAAATCATTAGCACGATATTATTGATTTACAAACTAATTGAATTTCTACATAAACACAAACCAATCGAGTGTTTTTCTTTGTTCCAAAGCTATGAATAACAACCCAATTGACAGTTTTATATATTGTATTCTTCAAGATTCCAAAAGTGTGATGATCTCTTATGTGGTAATGCATATCTCTCACTACTCCAAATTCATTCTTTGTTTTTTGATATATAAAGTAAAATGCTCAAGTTGTTCACAGAACAGTACCATGTACAAACAACTAAACTCAAGGGTACTCAATGTAATAAAACATCAACACAAGGTTCTCCATTACAACCAAAAGCCATGGGACCAAAATCGATTTTAGAAATCCAAAATAGATTTCAAATTCATAGCAGAGAAGGATCGAGATGATTTTGCACAAACAAAAAATAGAAATTTTCTTAACATTCAAATAGTTCATAATTTCTTGAGTTTTAATTCAAGAAACTTGATTTAATTCACAACTAAAATCATCTAAAAACATACAAATAAAAACTGGGTTAATTGCAGGAAAAAAACGAGCCAAAAAACGCAGAGCCAAAAATTGATTGAAGGAGATGGTCGGATATCAATCGGTTTCAAAAACGATTTTATTAATCGATTTCAAAAATAATCATGAATCGATTTCATGAGATCATTCGACTAAAGATGGAGACTAAAAAACACAGAGCTTACCGGTGTTGGAAGAAGTAGGAGTTGGTGATGATGGTTGTGTTGGAGTAGGTGGAGGAGGAGGGCGATGGAAGAGGGGAGGATAAAACTTCGGCGAAGACAGAATCGGGAGAGGGAGAAATGTGGGTTCGTTAATGGATCACTTCAACTTCAACGCATCTGAGCAAAATTGGGAAATATTCCAGTCAGCTTCTTTTTAACCTAGGACCGAGTCAGGCCATTTCTCATGACCGAATCAGACGATAAGATTGGGTCAGATGTTATTAGGCTTTTATCAAACAGGCTGACTGGACCGAGTCAGCCAAAAGTGCTGATTCGGACCCAGTCAGCACAAAATCAAACAGGCCCAATTACACCTGTAGCTTATTAGCTATTTTTCTACACAGCTAAGTTCCGTAGAAAATTTGTGATGGAATTTTCGCTACATGACTAAATTTTATAGGTTATTATTTTTGATACGGCAGAAAAGAAAATTCGTAGCTATTCTGTTATGACATTTTGAACACCCTTTAGATATTTTATTATAGAATGTGATACGACACTAAATTTCATGAAATAAGTGGTGTTGGATGGATGGGTCCCGTAATAGCTGTGATGTTTTAAAGAGCAGATGTATCAGGCTTTTTATACCTACGAACCCCTCCAAAGGCTATAACGGCTTGAACATTTTTATGGATTGACCATGAAACATATAATAATATAACTAGTAAAGTGGCCCCCGCGTTGCGGGGGTTAGATGTTTCATTTTTACCATCAACACCACCAAAACCCTTTTTATTGCAAGAGCCAAGAGGATTGGAAGAGGATCCGTTACAGGGGTCCGTCTCCTTTGTATGTGTATGTATGCTCCAGTAGTAGACAGAAGAACGCGATAAGTCAGACTGAAATTCGATTTCTAGAGGTGATAGCGAACACATTTTCTGGCAGTTGGGTTCTTGAAGAGCATGGCTTTCATATGTAAACTCCGCAACATCTTTAACTCTTCTTCTCCATTGCCTTCAAATCTGCTTCACTTCACACAATCTGTCACCTTACCTTCACCATCGGACACTGCATCTGCTGCCATAACAAACTGCTAGATATATATAAGAGTTAGAATAGGTAGATGCTGCAATGAAAAAGAACTTTATGACCTTCTGGAATCAGTAAGTAGATATATATAAGAGTTAGAACAGGTAGATGCTGCAATGAAAAATATAGCAAAAACGTAAAACCCATTTCTTGTGCAGGTTGAATATAAATTTCAGGAAACCTTTGGAAAAAATCTAAACCTGAATAAGATTAACCATTTTGCGAGTCTGGGAAAAGATAAGAACTTTATGACCTTCTGGAATCAGTTTTTCCTGTAATGGATGATTAAAAAAAAAGTTTAGGTTGATTTTCTCATATCTTTTAAATATTATTTATCCAAATGGTATTAAAATATAACAAAAAAAAAGAATAAGGGTCTAAGGGTATGTATGTAATATGTAATATTCTAACCAGTAAAGACATAATAAAGAAGATCTTGCAAGAAAGCTTGTCATGAGTTTCCCCAATGTCATATTTCTCTGCAGTATCTGCTATATGCATTGCTAATTTTTCAGCAATTCCTTGATCTTCCTCATTTAGCCCTGTTTCCATTCCTTCTAGAAGATCTTCAGCAACTCTTTTTGCTAATACAACTGGATGATCACATATCTTTTTCAATATCTATTAAATCTAAATCATAAACATTAACTTTCACTAAAGGAAAAGTCCACCAAAAACTAAGACTGATGTTAATAGAACAAAAAAATTGCATTGTTGATCTCTCTTATGTGCAAAAGACAGAAATACCCTTCTCATAAAAGACTACAATACCGTGAGAGCAGCTAAAGGTGAACCATCAAAGGCTGAAAGAACAATCTCACTGTTCAAAAAGCCTTCGTATAGTTGTCTCTGTAAATTAAAAAAGATAAAAAGAATGTAAGTTGAGTTTTTATAGAATAAAGAATATAAAAACAGTTAATGTAAGTAGCTGACATTTGGATAATCTTAACCAAACAATAATCTCATTCTTTTTAGAAATCTTGGCAGTGTTTGTAGCATCATTATCACGAAAAACTTCACTTTTCAAACGCATGAGAAAATAGGGTTGAATGCAATTTCTTAAATCCTGTTTGTAAGTTTGGATAAATGTTATTTTTTTTATAGTTTTAATCATAGCAAAAGGTTATTGCCTTAATATTTATGAAATATTTTGTCATTTAGGGAAATATAACTAATAACCTGTGCAACAATTGAACCAATGCGCTTATCTCTATCAGATGCATTTTTGTCATTTCCACGTAGGATTGCTGACTCATATTTTTCCTTAAAACTGAAAAGAAAATAGATATAAATAAGTAAATAATATAACAATAAGAAGAAAAAGAAAAAAAAATGAAATCTTACCATTTCTTGTCTCCCAAAAGCTCTGGACAACAGAAGTTAAACAAACCCCAAAGTTCCTGAATTATATAAGAACGATGATCAATAAAGTGGCTTTTAAAGCAATAAAAGTATAAAACTATTGTGTAATTCAAATTCAAAAATGAAATAATATAAAGATGCATACTTTTAGGTAAAGTGATGATAACAAAACAGAAGAAGCGACCTAGGCATTTCATCGAATACCTGGTGGACGCCGACCAGAAGTTCATCCATAACATAAATTCCTTGTTTTACTGATGTCAAGGCGTAAGCGATAGCAGAAAAGTGAAACGATCATACAAATAAATTTCAGCGTTACTAATTGATTAAATTCACATGAAGCAGTCATATCTAACAAACTCTCGTAATTCAATTCATGTATAATTCAGGAAAAATCCAAAAATTAAAACCAATAGAACAATTCTTACTGGTATACTCTTGATTCATGAGGTGAAGAGTCTCCTTTTTATGTCCAAACGCTTTCCGGTTGTAGTTGTCGATTCTAGTCAAATTATGCCGGAAAACTTTAGCATCGAAGTTAGAACCATCGGCTAACGACGGCGAAGAAGTGTCTCTGGTAGAGAATTTGACAAACAGAAGCTTCCGGCACCGTAAGACAAGTACCGATTTTGTGATTAAGAAGTGGACTCATCGACTCCTCGATCTCCGCATACCACCGATTGTTAGTTTTCAAGGGTATCTGCGAATACCTATTTGATCGATTGCAAGTATGAAGACCTCAAGCTTCAATTACAAGACGGACCAGTACCGACATCCACCACTAATGGTGCAGCGACAAACGCCAAGAGAAAGAGGTAATCGGAGATGCAAGCGTGAAACATAATGGATCAGGCATTGGTTGGCGGTGGAGGGAGCAAAGGGTAGAAGAAGGGAGGAGACTCGATTTGGGAGGTGGTGGAAGGATCGTGAAGTGGTTCTCTAAAGAATCGACGCAGATGTGACAGGAAACCTAAAAGAAAATAGACATTGGAGAAGATGGAGATGAACCGGAGGGTACAATCGGCAGTGAGGTGGTTTTAAGTCTGAGTCGAGCATGGGCGATGCTGGTGGTGAAAGTCGGTGGAAGAGATGGTGAATAAGAGAAGAGACTGGAAGGATGAAGACAATTAAGTCGATGGCGGTGGATAGAGTCAGTGAATAAGAGAAGGGACTGGAAAGCAACTAATGACATAAAATACCCGTATAGTTAAAGGACCATTTTTGCCATCCCTTAGGAAATTCACTATAGGTAAGGATGGAGAATTTTAATATATATATATATATATATATATATATATATATATATATATATATATATATATATATATATATATATATATATATAGGGTGAGATTCAATAGAGAACCATAATTAACCAAGGAACCAAGGAACCAATCTTTTTTTCAATTTTTAGAACTTAACTTTTATCAAAAAAAAACTAAAAATACAGAAATTCATAACTTTTTATCCTTTTTCCAATGATATAAAATTCGAATTTTTTTTTTACGTCAAATTCACAATGTAATCCTTGGAAATTCACAACGTGAATCCAGATTCATACGGTGAATCCGAAAAATATTTTTCACATTCACAATGTTAATATATGAATTTAGATATTTTTAGATTTTTTTTCGATAAAGAATAAGCTTTAGAAATTGAAAATAAGATTTGGTTCCTTGAAGAACCAATAATTATGGTTACCTATTGAACTTTTCTATATATATATATATATATATATATAATACAAACTTTACTATTTCTAAAAATACATTTAAGACGTCTAAATATTTAAGCTTAAAGTACAAGAAAATATTGCTATAATAACAATCATAATTCAAATACGGTAAGATTTAAGCTGAAAAACTAAGTCAATTTTGAATTCCTTAAATGTTTGCTTGGAATATGGGATTTGAACGGGTCAATAATTATATGATAATAACATAGCCGATTGAATCGGTCATCAGAGATACACTCTATATGGCATCTCCTCTCTCAACATGGTATTACCTACAGCCACTCACCATCGCCATCTCTATCTCTCTCTCTAAAAAAGCCCTAAAATTCATCACCACGTTGCCATTCTAATCTTCTGTAAAAAAATTCACCATAAACCCTAGATGAAGTCACATTCTCCGCTACCAGATACCCTTATTGTTGATGTTGCCATGAAGATGGACCACTCACATAGAGTGAAGACCCAAAATTCATATCTCATCATCTCCTCCATCAGCCACGTTCTTCAACAATAATCACCCTCTACCGCCTTTCTCAACTTCTCCACCATCCACTGTCATCATTATACTGAGTGATTCTCTCTAAAAAAAATCCTACAAACCCTAGCCATCACGGACTTCAAAACCATCAACCACCTTCAGACCACTCATCAACACCGATGGAGCACAATTGCACCAGCGCAACACCATTGCACAAGTCGTCCCTCTCTCTAGAATCGAACGGCCAACATTAAATTCCTAGCCGTTTACCCACGCTAAGCTACGGGTGTGAATAGTTTGTTTCAGTAATCTGTTTCCTTTCGGCGAACAATGATTAGATTGAATTCAACAATTATTTTGTTTTAGGAAATATGTTATATTAAAAATAATATATTGACAAATGCCACTAAACATCAGTTTCAATTCAACGATTTATTTTCTTTCCAACGCATAATGTATTCTTTAATGTATTTGTTAATTTTCAAAGTAACATGTGCTAATAATAATAAATAATATAATAGTAAAGTATAAACTATAATAAAGAAAACGCACAACGTATTGTTCTTTTTCGCAACATGATTATGTTGTTACAAATAGTAGCAATACACAACTCATAATTACTTCATACTTACCTTTCTTATAACCATAAAAATTGCATGCGTTAGGACTTAGGAACTTACGCAAAGCGTATCAATGATCAAAGGTTTTTTAACACAAGAGTTATAGCAATAATTATTAACTTAAGAAAATTGTGATTAAACGAAAAATGAAAAAATTGTTACCTTAATTAGTTTTGAATGCTACCTTCTTACTTTTTTTTTTTTTGAATAATATATTTCATTATCAAGACTAATATCAAAATTAATGGTTTTCAAAGCTTTTTTTACGCCATAATGTATGTGAAACAACAACCATTAAGTAACTTTTAACTTTTAAGTATGAGACAAACACAAATAAAAGTTTTATCTTTACCCCATATAATATACTACTTTTAAGCCACTTTTAAGCTCGCTTGCATATTTATTTTTAATGAAATCCAACTTCCTAATAAATAATGCATTTTATTTAATCGTCCATTTTGATTTGAATCTTAAATAGTTTAATCATTTTTTAGTTTATATCCATTATGATTTTAAGTTTATTTACATCTTTCAGAAAGCTTTTTAAAAAAATTCATTTCAAAATAAATGAATTTGAAAATTACATCTTTATTAAGTTAGTTGCAGCATTATTATAAAAAAAATTAATAAAAAAATCAACTAAATGATTTTATGTATTTTTAACATTAATTTTATAACAAAAATTAGCAGGGAGCTACACTGATACAAAGAGTCCAATGAACAAAAGAAAATTACAGAAACTAAGCATACTAAACTAAATAAACAACTCTAAAAAGACTAAAACAAAGAAAGACATCAGAACCTATGATTGACAAAGAGAAGCAACTCCACAATCATTTGAGAGCAACATGAATTAAGATGATCACAACCTAAATAGGTGATATGTCCATTAACTATTGAGAACTTCATTTTAACCTTTTGACATCAGCAATGTTTGATAGCACCTCCATAAATATAACCCAAAGTGAAACGAACTTTCAATTAACAACCTAGACTTTGTTTTATCTTAAACAACTTCCCATTAATGACATTTTTGACTGGTCAGATTCAGTACACATATCCCCAAACACCACCAGAAATCTTTCATCATAAGATCTTAATCCTTTGTACTAATTATTTCGTTTGCATTTTCAATCAATAGTGAATACATTATACAATAGTGTCAAAGAGTAAAAATGACAGTTTCCATATTTCAAATAACCCCATCAGAAACAGTAACATCAACAATAAGGGTAAAAAATCGTCCAATGTAGGCCAAAATACCATATTACACTCCGTCCTAATTGTAACGCCCGGGTTTCGGGGCTAAACATTTTTAGACGATGTAATAGTCTAGGTCAACTATTGTAACTCTTTTGATGTAATAAAGATGAAATATTTGAGTATTTTGTGAATTATGTGAATTTATATGCTTATTATTTAATTATAAAGATATAATTAATAAAGAATAAAAATAAGCGTCAAAATTAAAGTGTGAGATAAGCCTGATATATTTACATAAAGTTGTAGAGTACGTTCCCGCCTACGCGTGGATATAAAGAACGTCGAAAACGGAGTTCGTATGCAAAAGATACAACAGTTTTAAGAAAATCAGACAGTAAAACACTGCTTTTCTTTAATCGCGTAAAACCAAATCGATCCTTTGAGGTACTTATGCTTTGCCGACGGGATTTCCGAGAGCGTTTTTGGACTCAGGATATGGTCTAGTATTTGATTTCATACTCGAAATATTTTTAACGAAAATATTTACAAAAGTTGCGAAAACGGACACCGTGTGCCGTTTAGACGCAAAACTTTAAGTGCGATTTCCCGGAGTTCCGTAACTCCAAAAATTAATCCGTTCGGGTTTCTGGAATCCTTGAATTACCCTCTTTCATAAGAAATTTTCGAAAACGCAATCCGATGTCGGGATCTCGATTCATCAATCTATGAGCGTTTTGGACAAGTTAAGTAATTAAACTACTTTGTGGGACCCATTAGGCTTATAGAACAACATGTCCAGCTCATTTCCATCTTTTTCGCATGTTTTTCTTTATTCTTTCTTTCTTCTCACCCTTCCTAGTTGTGTGCACTCTTACCCAACGGTACCAAGTATGGAGGTGAAGCATGGTCATTCTAAGCTTGTGAGTATGCATGCTTACTATAAATAAGGAGCTTCTCATCCTTAATTGACACACCAAAAAAATCTCAGTTCTTCTCTACCTTTCCCTCATCGTAATCAGCAAGAGAAACGAAGAAGAAAAGCAAGGCAGCCAACGTTGGCCACCTTGCTGCCTCACCAGAAAAATAGCTGATGCCACCACGATACACCACCTCCAGCCACCCCGTTTGTTCCTAGGTACTCCCAAGTCAGTGCTTAACATTTTTCATTCTTTGTGTTTTCCATTTCGACGAACGGTTTGAGCTCCACAAATCCATTTGTGCATGTGTGTGTTTTTGCGTCCAATTTTGACGTGATCGGGGGGTGATGCCTCCTGATCAAACTTAATGCACATATCTTGGCCAAACTTTGTTTCCAAACTAATTCCCCATACCCTATTTCGAAATTCTTAACATTTTTGGTCCTAATTCATTTAAACCTTCATTTATTTATTCACAAATGGTCCTTCCTTGGAAACCTTCTTACAAATCAGATCCTAAACTCTAAACTATGATGTATATGTTCCATATTGGTCCCTCATTTGGAAATTATATTTATAATTTAGTCCAACTAAGTTATTTAATTAACATAACGGACCCTATACCTTGGTTAATTACCAAACTACCCTCCAAATATTAATTATATTAATATTTCCTTAGGAAACTAAATTTTCTCGGAGATTCGTATTCACAGAAATACTACTCGACCTTCTCGCATTCATTCCAGAACACTAATCGTCTATCGAACGTTAAGGTGAGTGCATAGTTACTTTCATCTTACACATAGATATGAAGTATTTTATATAAATTACGTGCTACGTGTTCATATTATCTGTATACTTGCTATCTATGCTAGATGAACGATTTTATACATGTTTTAAATGATTTAAACTGTATATGTATTTTATAACTACAAAATTTGTTGGGTAAAACATGGGTAGATGTAATAGTTGCTGTGTGGAAAAAAATAAAATAATGAGAGGCCTCGTTATAGATGTTATTGATGATCCAATCATCTAGCGGAGTATAGATGACGACCACAGACTATTCTAGACAGTCCAGTGGAACGCTAGCAGGCTCGCAACCTGTAGGTGTTTATTTGAACTGTGTGCTCACCAGCAGTACTCGATCCCCCACATGGTTGCCTTATTTGACATGAATTGTTGAGGAACCCCCAAAGCATGTGTTGTCACCCCGATGAAAGTCCTTAGACTAGATCC